GGAAAAAGAAACTCAAGTCCAGGAAGCTCAGAGAGTCCCCAAAAAGACCTACACCAAGACATATCTTCATTAAAATGACAAGGCTTAAAGACAACGAGAGAATCCTAAAAGCCACAAGAGAAAAACAGGTAGTTATATACAAGGGAGCACTAATTAGACTGTCATCTGATTTCTCAACAGAAACTTTTCAGGCCAGACAGAAGTGGTGTGAGATAGTCAAGGTGATGAAAAGCAAGGATGTACAACTAAGGCTACGTTACCCAGCAAGGGTATTATTTAAAACTGAAGGAGAAATAGGAGCTTCCCAGACAAGGAAAAGCTAAAGTAGCTTGTTAACACCAAACCAGTTCTGCAACAAATGTTAAAGGACTTGCCAGAAAGAAAAGAAAAAGGCAGAGGAGCAGTGGGGGAGAAGATGGGGAGAAGAGGAAGAAGGTGGAGGAGGGGGAGGAGGAGAAGGAAGAAAAAGAGGAAAAATCTAACAATAAAATGGCACTAAATATGAATCTATCAATAATCAATCACCTTAAATGTAAATGGTTTAAATGCTGGAACCAAAAGACATAGCATAACTGAATGGATAAGAAAACAAGACACATATATACAATCAAAGGGATAAAAAAACATACTTTGTGCAAATGGAAAGGAAAAAATGCTGGGTGAGTAGTAATTACATCAAAAAAGACTTTAAAACCAAGGCTATAGTAAGAGACAAGGATAATACATAAAGATAAAGGGAAAAATCCAACAAGAGAATATAACCCTAGTAAACACTTACACACCTAATATAGGAACACTTAATTGTGTGAAGCAAATCTTGATGAACATAAAGGGAGAGACTGACAGAAATACAGTCATAGTAGGGGATTTTAACACCACATTGACTTCAGTGGATAGGCATTCCGGACAGAAAATCTGCAGGAGCCATCTTTCTCAGGTAGAGTACTCCACTCCCAACAAGAACACAGCGGCCTTAAATGACACAGTGGATCAAATGAAGATTACTGATATCCTCAGAAAATTTCATCCCAAAGCAGCAGAATATACATACGTTTCAAGTGCACATGGGACATTTTCTAGGACAGACCACATGTTAGGACACAAAACAAGTCTTAGTAAATTTAGGAAGACTGAAATCAAATCAAGCATCTTCTCTGATCACAATGCTATGAAACAAGAAATCAATCACAAGAAGAACAATGAAAAACACACAAAGACATGAAAGCTAAATAATATGTTATTAAACAATGAATGGGTCAACAATGAGATCAAGGAAGAAATCAAAAGATACCCTGAAACAAATGAAAATGAGGACCCAACAATCTAAAATCTGTGGAACACTGGTAAAGCAATCCTAATGGAAATTCACAGCATTACAGGCCTATCTCAAAAAACAAGAAAAAAGCTCAAATAAACAATCTAACTTTACACTAAAAGAACTTGAAAAAGAATAGCAAACAAGCCCAATGTGAGTACAAGGAAGGAAATAATAAAAATCAGAACAGAAATAAACAAAATAGTGTCTTTAAAAAAAAAAAAAAAAACATACAAAGATCAATCAAGCCCAGGGCTGGTTCTTTGAAAAGATAAACAGGATTGACAAACATTTGACCAGATCATTAAGAAAAAAAGAGAAAGGACCCAAATAAATAAAATTAGAAATGAAAGAGGGGCAATAACAACTGACACCAAAGAAACACAAAGGATAATAAGAAAATATTATGAACAACTGTACGCCAAGAAGCTGGATAAACTGGATGAAATGGATTAATTCTTAGAAATATAAAAATCTTTCAAACTCTTCCAAAACTAAATCAGGAAGAATCAGAGAATCTGAAGAGATGTTTCACACCTACTGAAATTGAAGCAGTAATCAAAAAACTCTCAACAAACAAAAGCCCTGGACTAGATGGCTTCATAGGAGAATTTTACCAAATATTCCAAGAAGAACTAACCCCTCTCCTACTCAAATTATTTCTTGAAATTCAAGAGGAGTGAAGGATCCCAAACTCATTTTATGAGACCAGCATTATCCTAATTGCAAAATTAGATAAAGACAATACAAAGGAAGAGAATTACAGGCCAATATCCCTGAAGAACCCAGGGGCTAAAATTCTCAACAAAATAGTGGCAAACCAAATACAGCAATGCATCAAAAAGATCACACATCATGATCATGTGGGATGTATTCTGGGAATGCAAGGTTGGTAAAATATTTGCAAATCAATAAATGTGATTCACCACATAAACAAACGAAGGATAAAAACCACATGATCATATCAATAGATGCAGAAAAAGCGTTTGATAAAATCCAGCACCAATTTACGATAAAAACTCTCAACAAAGTGGGATTACAGGGAACATACACAAACATAATAAGGCCATATATGACAAACCCACTGCCAGCATTATACTCAATGGGCATAAACTACAAGTGTTCCCCTTAAGATCAAGACAGGAATGTCTGCTTTTACTGCTCTTATTTAACACGGTACTGAGAGTCCTAGCCATGGCAATCAGGCAAGAAGAAGAAATAAAAGACATCCAAACTGAAAAGGGAGAAGTAAAACTGGCATTATTTGCAAATGACATGATACTATATATAGAGAACACCAGAGATTCTGAGAAGCTACTAGAATAAATGAATTCAGCACAATACAAATTTAATATCTAGAAATCAGTTGCATTTTTATATGCCAATAATGAACTAACAAAGAAACTAAATAAAATATGAATATGTGGAGGCATATAATGTGTTCACGGATAGGAAGAATTAACATCATTAAAATGTCCTTACAATCCAAAGCAGTCTACAGATTCAACGAAATTCCTACCAAGATCCCAATGTTGTATTTCCAATGGCATATTTAAATTTAAATGGAGCAAATATTTCAAAAATTTATATGGAACCACAAAAGGCCCCGCATAGCAACAGCCATCCTGAGAAAGAACAAAGTTGGAGAAATCACGCTACCTAATATCAAACTGTAGTATAAGGCCATAGTAATCAAAACAGCATGGTACTGGCATAAAAACAAACACAAAGATCAATGTAATAGAAAATAGAGCTCAGAAATAAACCCACAACTTTACAGTCAATATTTGACAGAGGAAGCAAGTGCATACAATAGGCTAAGAAGTTTATTCAATAAATAGTGTTGGGGAAATTGCACAGATACATACAGAAAAATGAACCTAGACCACCTCCTTACACCATACACAATAATAAATTCAAAATGGGTCAAAGAGTTAAATGTTAGACCCAAAACCATAAAAATCATAGCAGAAAACAGGCAGCAAAAATCTGACACTGCTTGTAGGAATATTTTATCAGATATATCTCCCCAGGCAAGGGAAACAAAAGAAAATACAAAAACAAATGGGACTACATCAAACTAAAAAGTTTTTGCACAGCAAAGGAAATCTTCAACAAAATTAAAAGACAACCCACAGACAACCCATATTCCTGATACATCTGATAAGAGGTTAATATCCAAAATTTAAAGAACTTACAAAACTCAACACCAAGACAAAACAAAACAAAAAACAACTCATTTAAAAAGGGGCAAAGGACCTGAAGAGACACTTCTCCAAAGAGGACATATAGATGGCCAACAGACATGAACAGATGCTTGTCACTCATCATCAGAGAAATGCAAATTAAAACCACAATGAGATATCATCTCACACCTGTCAGAATGGCTATCATCAATAAATCAACAAGCGCTGGTGGGGATGCGGAGAAACGGGGGCCCTTTTGCACTGTTGGTGGGAATGCAGACTGGTGCAGCTGTTGTGGAAAGCAATATGGACATAACTCAAAAATCTAAAAATGGATCTGCCTTTGGACCCAGCAATCCCACTTTTGGGAATACATCCTAAGGAACCTAAAACACTAATTCGAAAGGACATAAACACCCATATGTTCATTGCAGAGTTATTTACAATCACCAAGATCTGAAAGCAGTCTAAGTGCCCATTAATAGATGGGTGGATAAAACAACTGTGGGACATTTACACAATGGAATAGGATGGACCTGGAGAACATTATGCTAACTGAAATAAGCCAGTCAGAGAAAGATAAATACCATTTGATTTCACTCATATGTGGAATCTAATGAACAAACTAAACTAACAAGGAAAATGGGGACAGACTCATAGACAGAGAGAGGATGACAGCCGGTAGGGGTGGGCTGGAGGTGAGACAGTGGAAGGATTGAGCAAAAAGGAAAAAGGACTCATGGACATGGAAAACAGTGTGGTGATTGCTGAGGGGAGAGAAGTATAAGGGTACTAAATGGTAATGGAAAAACTACAATAAAGATTTTAACAATTTAAAATAAAGAAAAAGAAAAGTAATGGGAAATTTTGTAGAGGACCTGATGCTGTAGCTGAGTCACCAGGTGGATGGGGAGGAGAAATCCAAACAGAAAACCCATTTTGCAAAGACACAGGCATGAAAGAGCATGTCAGATTTTTCTTACCCACTTTTCTTCCATCTTTAGGTCAAACTGCCATATCTAGCAAGTCATTTAATTTCTCAGGGTCTATAAAAAATGATGCAGTTGGATTTTGTAATTGAGAAAAGGTGCCCAAGGCTCTCTCATTCACTCCTTCTCTACCTTCAAAGCTTTAAGCAGACATCAACAGGCAGTCTCACAACATTTCTTACATGGCTAGCAAAGGAGTTCTTTAATCTTCACCCCTCTATAAAAATACATTTCAAAACTATCTCAGGGAAGCAATGTGGTAGGTATCTCAAGCAAAGCATGAAATTAGTGATCACTGATCTGAATTTGAAGTCAAACTTGGTCATTTACTCACTGTGTGACTTTGAGAAGACACTTAAAATCTTTATGACTCAGCTTTCATTTGTAAAATGGAGATTGTGGTATTTATCTTGCATGGTTCTTTGGAAGACTTAGAGACTTAGTGGTACTTGTTTTTAAACATGCAGCACAGTGCTGGATACTTACTAGGTTCTCAAATAATTCACAAAATTGCCAACACACACACAAGATTTATTTTTATCCATTCCTGGATGCAATCAATTATTTTGGTTTGTGTGTGTATATTTGACTGAACAGTATAAAGAAGGATTAACATTTAAAAGATACTGTATTTTTCTTTATAAGTAATACAACAATTCTTGCCACTTTGACTGGATTTTAAAAGGGAAAGAGGGCACATGTCTAGGCAGCAAGCGTTCAGGCTTAGTATTTTTGCATTTAAGAGTGGAATCTACCTATTGGAGAAAGGAAGTTTCAAATGACTACTCAAGTAAAATTTCTTTCCTGAGAGCAGTCTTATGCTAAAATTTCACTCTGTTGAAACTGCATTTTAAGTCACTGTTTATGCTGTTATAGGATTACTGTAAAAAGTTCCAAAGTAATTTTTCATTAACTAAACTGAAATTTGAAAATCAATTTAATAACATGTTGCATTCTACATACCTTAGGACTGAAGATATTTTTAACAGCTTACAACAGCCTGTCTTTCTCTTTACTTTTCTTCTAGCCACTTCTACCTATTCCTTCTTTGTCCAATATTTCTACAACATATGTACCTTTCTGTTGCATGCATGTATACTAATAAAAATTTAGCAGAAAGTAATTTTAAAACAGAAACAAAAATATTCCTTATACTGCCAAGTTTCCTTTGAGCTTTGAGCACATTATACAACATGGTTGTATTAATGCTTAGAACTAAGCCTTCAATGAATTATTCAAATGTGCCATGTTTTAAATCATTACATTTAGATATCTTAATCCTTCTGAGTGTTATTGTGCAGCCAATAATAAAAAACTTTTATTAAAAATGTTGAAAAGTATAAAATAGTAATTATAAATTATCAAACGCCCAATTTTTAAAAAGTTCTTTTCTTTTCCTTACATAGTATAAGCAACAGTGATTTGGGTATTATTATTCACTTTCAGCCACCAAACTGCCCTTAAATGTACTTCAGTTAAGACCAGTTTTTAGCTTGTGTTTCTGGAGTGACAATTCACATGGACACTGAAAAACAACTCTGATAGTGTAACTAAGGTATCAAAAAGTACATATGCCATGTTAACATGTGATCTAACATAACATCTCATAACAGGTGTTATTTGCAAAGTAAAATTAAGTCACTCTTGTAGCTGTAAGTCAATGTTGAAATTACTTAAGATTAAGGCATCTTCCTGCTCTGCCTTCAAGTAGCGCTTCTGTGGATCCAGCAATCTGTACAAACGTTTCTTTTGAAAAAATATATCTTCTGCTATACTTCAATTATTTCATCCCATTGATGATTTTCTTGCAAATAATACTGAAAATATCAGTCCATAATATATTTTCATAAACCTGTAAAACCAGAAAAAAGTGATTTATTGGTTAAAACTTGATTTTACATTTCTGAATATAAAATTTACTAAGTGGTTCTGTGGGCTAAGGTATAAACCTACTAACAAAATAGGAAAGAAATGCTTTAATGCTCTTATACTATAATAATAGTAAGGATTTTTATAAGCAGTAAATAGGGATATCTGTCTTCTTCCCCTGGAGCATCAGGAGAGCATTTTATAACAGCCAGACTCTCAGGGTTCTTTCTTACTGTTAAGTGGGACATGATCTGAGGAGACATCTTATCCACCTTCCAAAGATTGCTGTGGATTTTAGGAAAGACCCTCGGCAACAGTTCTAGGAACTTCAGCTGGGGATTTTCCACCACCACTGGCAGCAGCCACTATCCCTACAGTAAGAAGAAACAAAGCCAGGACTGAGGACCCCCATCTGAAGCCCACATGCTGTACCACAGCCCCAGTTGTCAGTGGCACTGACTAGGACGGTGACCACGACAAGCACTCTCCTGTTGCTCATCCTGAGAGCCCAGCCTGAGTGCCTGTGTTCTGATTTTGTCTGGGTCTCTGGCTCTGGCATAACTCTGGACAGGGAACTAGGTCCTTTGTACAGAATTGAATGCTTGTGACAAATGCCATGCAAGAAAGCAGAAGCTTCCCTGAGACTGAGGATGACAACCTTTTAAAAAACTCATGACAACAGGAACCACGGTAATGAATGCATATTGTCTGAAGCTGCTCGACTTGTGAGAATTCATTACAGGGCAACAGGTAACCAAAACAGTCTAAGTAGGTTTATCGAAAATTGAACATCTTCACAGGATGCCACTGAGCTCAGCTCCTGATTGAGTACAGACAGCTGTATCCTTGACTTTAGTGTCAGGAGACACTTCATTACCTCCCTGCAGTTCAACTTAAGGTTAGCCATTACCCTCATTGCTCAGACTACTGACTCAGACTGATACCCTCTCTACAGCTCCTGACCCTGGACATACAGTAAAGAATGACTCATCCATGTACTTGGTCTAATGTAAATTGCTCTTTTGTTGTTTCTTTTACAAAGTAAATAACATCAATGAACCTCTTAAGTCTTTTTTTTTTTTCAGCCTTTGTTAGTCACTTCTCTGGGCCAAATTTTTTCAATAGTGGGCAAATGTCACCTTTTTCCTTTAAACCAATTAATACGGGACTATTTACTAAAAAGGTTGTTTGTTTGTATACCAATCCTAAACAATTTTTACTAGTTTTTCCATTAATCTACCAATAAATATTTACTAAAATTGTGCTAGGGTGGGCATGGAAAATAAGATTTAGGCAGCTTTCTTCTGATTTCTCCTGAACTACATAATTCTGCTGATATAATTGAAAAAGTAAAAATTTGAATTACAAGTTGTTTTAAGATTATGAAAAATGTGCAAATAAACTGCATTTGTTCAAGGAAATTACCACTGTATTGTCTTACCTTCTTATTCAGTTAGATAGTTATGACCACATGGTACTCAATTTTCTATTGCCACTGTGACATGGTTCTTTGTCCCTGTAAGTGCAAAATTACAGATGACATGACCAAAAAAATGCATTAAGTTCCTGGTTAAATAGCAAAATTGATGATTAAAGTAAAAGCGACTCTTATGTACACACTAAATAGGCATATAGTGCCAACCATGTGTCATCTTGTGGAACCAGAAATAAGAAAAGCAGTGCTAAGAGCTAGAAGTCTGGTTTTCTTTTTATTTTGGTAAAAATGTCATTTGGCTTTAAAGAATTCACCAGAGCCCTGGCTGGTGTGGTTCAGTTGGTGGGAGCATTGTCCCATAAATCAAAAGGTTGCAGGCTCAATACCCTTGCAGGGTACATGCCTAGGTTGTGGGTTCACTGCCGGTTGGGGCATGTACGAGAGGCAACCAGTGTTTCTCTCTCACATCAATGTGTGTGTGTGTGTGTGTGTGTGTGTGTGTGTGTGTGTGTGTCCCTCCCCCTTCTTCCTTCCCTCCCTCCTTTCTTGCTCTAAAATCAATAAACATATCCTTGGTGAAGATTTAAAAAACTGAGTATTTCTCTTTATCCTATACAAGGAATCTAATGATTCCAGCTATACTAATTTTAGAGAATAATTTAAATGCTGTAAAATTTCAAAAAGACAAAAAAATATCAGAAAATGTGACAGCAACTTTTGAAATTTTAGGTTATTTCCTGTAGTACAAATTGACCTGAATGTCCAAATTATTTTTATACAGTTAAAGAAGACAATGCCAATGTTGGTATTATTATTAAGGACAACCATAGATATATTTTAGGCTATAACACTAGTAAATGGCCAGACTATATTATAGACCTAGGCCCGATCCAAAAGCCCACTTCTTTTTAAAATATTAATTTATTTATTGATTGATTTTTAGAGAGAAAGAGAGGGAGGGAGGAGGGAGGGAAAGGGGAAAGAGAGAGAGAGAAAGAGAGAGAGAGAGACTGATTTGTTGTTCCATTTAATTATGCATTAATTGGTTGCTTCTGGTATTGCCCTTACTGGGGATTGAACCCACAACCATGGCAAAACTAGGATGATGCTCTAACCAACTGAGCTATCCAGCCAGGGCCCAAAAGCCTACTTTTATCCTATCAACTGTTCTATAATGCATCCATAATTCATGAAATGATTGTGTCATCAAGAAAAGGTTAAAATACCATTGTCTGGTATGGCTCAGTGGCTTGAGCACTCGCCTGCGAAATGAAAAGTCACTGGTTTGATTCTCGGTCAGGGCATATGCCTGGGTTGTGGGCCAGGTCCTCAGCTGGGGGCATGCAAGAGGCAACCAATCAATGTTTCTCTAGTTCTCTCTCCCCGCCCCTCTCTAAAAATAAATAAAACCTTTTTTAAAAAAAAGGTTAAAATACACTGAAGTGCACTCTTTTTATAACAAGGCTGTGAGAGTATAATGCTTTTTGAAAAGGTTACTTTCTAATAAGCAAAAACTAGGACCCTAAAAAATAACCTTGTTTATGTAGTTTCAGTTGTACAACCTTGTGATTAAATATTTATATAACTTGCAATATGATCATCCTGATCCATCTGACATCACAGTTATTAGATTATTGACTATATTCCCCATACCCTACTTTATATTCCTGTGACTATTCTGTAACTACCAATCTGTACATCATAATCCCTTCACCTTTTTCACCCACCCTTTTCCTATCTGGCAACCATCAAAATATTCTGTTATCTATGAGTCTGTTTCTATTCTGCTTGTTTGTTTTTTGGATTCCACATATAAGTAAAATCATATGGCATTGATCTTTCTTTGACTTATTTCACTCAGCAATATTCCCTTTAGGTCCATTCATGTTGTTGTAAATGGCAATATTTCATTATTTTTTATGCCTCAGTCACATATATACATTCCATTGTATATATGCACTACTTCTTTATCCACTCATCTATTGATAGACCCTTAGGTACATCCATAGCTCATCCACAGTAAATAATGCTGCAATGAACATATGGATGTATATCTTTTTGATTTAGTGTTTTGGGTTTCTTCAGATAAATACCAGGACGTGAAGATGCTGGGTCTGTCTTTGATTCTTATTTTAAAGTCTATTTTGTCTGGTATTAAGTGTTGCTACCCCAACTTTGTTTTGTTCCCACATGTCATGAAATATCTTTCTCCATCCCTTTACTTTCAGTCTCTGTATATTTTTCAATCTGAAGTGAGTCTCTTGTAGATATAGCATGTATAAGGGTCTTGTTTTGTTATCCATTCAGTCATCATGTCTTTTGATGGCATTTCATCTGTTTGTACTTAGAGTAATTTGTGGCATGTACTTTGTGGCATTTCATCTGTTTGTACTTAGAGTAATTGTTGAAAGCTATGTATTTATTGCCATTTCATTATTCATTTATTTAATCTTTTTTTTCTTCTTAAATAAGACCCATTATCATTTCTTCTAATAATGGTTTAATGGTGGAAGTGGTTTCTTCTTGTCTGGGAAGCTCTTTATGCATCCTTTGATTCTAGATGATAGCTTTGTTGGATCAAGTAATCTTGGTTGTAGGTCCTTGGTTTTCATCGCTTTGAATATTTCATGCCAATCACTTCTGGCCTGGAAAGTTTCTGTTGAGAAGTCAGTTGACAGTCTTATGGAAGCGCCTTTGTAAGTAACTAACTGCTTTTTTTCTTGCTGCTTTTAAGATTCTGTCTTTAACCTTTGGCATTTTAATTATGATGTGTCTTGGTGTGGGTCTCTTTGGGACCCAGTGGGGACTCCCTGGACTTGTATGCCTTTTTTAAAAAAAGATTTTATTTTTAGAGAGGGAAAGGGAGGAAGAAAGAGAGGGAGAGACATCAATGTGTGGTTGCTTCTCGTATGCCCCCTAATGGGGACCTGGCCTGCAACATAGGCATGTGCCTTGACTGGGAATTGAACCAGCAACCCTTTGGTTCACAGGCCAGTGTTCAATCCACTGAGCCACAGCAGCCAAGGCAAGTATGCCTATTTTCCTTACCAAGTTAGGAAAACAGTCCATCATTATTTTTTCAAATAGGTTTCCAATTCCTTGCTCTTTTTCTTCCTGCACCCCTATGATACAAACATTGATATGTGTGAAATTGAACCAGAGGCTCCTAAACTATCCTCATTCTTTGAATTTTCTTTTTGCTGTTCTGATTGCCTCCTGCTTCCTTATCTTCAAAATTGCTGATTTGATCCTCTGTTTCATTAACTTTACTTTTGATTCCCTTAAACTATTCTTCATTTCAGTTATTGTATTCTTCATTTCTGACTGGCTCTTTATGTTTTCTGAATTTTTTCTGTTTCCTGCTTGTTGAAGTTTTCACTAAGTTCATATACTCTTCCCCTAAATTCATTGAGCATCTTTATAATCCTACATTCATGACTAGGTCCAAATCAATAAAGTTACTGGTAGAAATGAAAAATGTGTCCTTTATTTTATGGAAAAAACTAAATGAACGTTTTGGCTAACCCATTGGTTGAGCCTTGACTGATGTTGGCAAGCCACTGGGACAGACTGACCCCTGGGCTGATCAGCTGTGAGGATTGGCTTTGACTGCATTAGAGGAGCTGCTGTGCAGCAGCCAACCCCATGGAGCAAGACTCACTTCAGTGGGGCTTTGTTGCCTGCCAAGTCTAGCCTTGGAGTGTGTCTTCTATGGAGGAGACTGAGTTGTAATCCAGGATGGTGTGAAGCTGCCCACTGGGTGTGCTGGCTCTGGGACCTCCCAAGAGATGCAAAGTCACCTGCCACCTGTGCCCCACCCAGGGCCACCCAGCATGAGCTTCAGAGTGATCTGTAGTTTGTTGCTACCTGTGCTTACTTGGAATTATCCGGGAAAGGCCAAGCTGCAAACCAAGGCTGGCTGCCACTAGTGCCAGGTCTGGAGCCACTTAGCAAGAGGTATGGGGTAAGCAGAAGCTACTTATTTGAGACATTTTCAGAAGTACAAAACATAATCCAGGGTAGGCTATTTGTGTGGAAAGGGCTTGGGTGGGCTTGCAAATGGTGGGGGGTAATGGAGTATCTCAGAGAATCAGTAGGTAGGGCTAATAGAATTAGCCAGGTTGTTGAAACTCAGATATGGTACCTGCCTCGGGCTCTGTGTGTGGGAGGGCTCTAAAAAGGAAAAATGGCCTCTGCTAGCACTTCTGTCTGGTAGAAAGCTGCCTCTCCAGCCCTGACCCTAAAGCCAAACAATTCAGTTCTTCCCCAAATGTCCCTGGCACCTATCGAGTTGCTGGCCCACTCTTGGAGCTCGAAGGGAGTGAGTCAGAGTAAGTTCATGTGGGCCTTTGAAAGGAATGCCTGGGACTCCATAAACCCTGTCTCAGTCACAATCCAGCCAGGACTTATGGGGTCTTCTCTTCCTGGCAGTAGAACCCCAGGCCGGGAGTTCTGATGTGGGGCCAATACCTTCACTACTTAGTGGAGACCTCTACAGTTGAGATATCCCTCACAATTTTTAACCACTATCCATTGGTGTGGAACTAGCCTGTTCCATGTCTCCATCCCTTCTACCAGTCTTAATGTGGTGACTTCTTCATATCCTTATTTGCAGGACTTCTGTACAGCTAGATTTCAGACATTCTGAATGAGGGCTCTTCTGTATTTTAGTTTTAATTTTGATGTGGTTGTGGGAGGTTCGGAGTACCTCATGTTTACCTACACCACCATCTTGACCAGCACTCACCTTGTTTAAGTTTCATTCAGAATATTATGCCGAAAGAACTTTCTATGTGTGCAGTAAAGAAATATATAGCTGGGTAACAACAACAACAACAAAAAAATCCAACAGTGAACCAAACAAGACACAACAGTAGCCATTATACTTCCTCACTCAACTCTCTTCTCCATAAAAGCTACCAATAAACACTAACACCCCATATATATGACATTATTTAAAAGTTTCACATATTTTAGTATTTTTAATCGTCACCCGAGGACTTTTATTTTTCCATTGCTTTTTAAAGAGAGAGGAAGGGAGAGAGGGAAACATCAATGCAAGAGAGAGGCATTGACTGGTTGCCTTCCATACGTACCAGGAATGGGGATCACACGTGACTGGACCAGAAACTGTACAATCCCACACCTGCAACTGGGGCCAGAACTTGCAATCTAGGCATGTACCCTGACTGGGAATTTAACTCACATCCTTTGGTTACGGGACAGTGCTCCAACCAACAGAGACACACCAAGCAGAGCATACTGTAGCATTTTAAAATATCACATTAGTTTGAGTTTTACTTTAACCACATGAAACAATATTTTCAGATGACAAGTATTACCTGATCTGACAGTGCCTTCTTCAGAGCCATTCTCTGTCCATTGAGATTCACTGTCTAGCAGTCGGTTTTTTGATTCACTAAGTGGTTTGATAGGAAAAGGTTGATTTAAGCCAATACTGAAAAGAAGAGCAAATAATTTAGTAAACAGTTTAATGCTCCATTAAGAATATTTAATTAATAAGCTTCAAATTGGTACTCCTTCTCCTAAACATGTGAGGGCAACTTAAAATATCTCACCACTCTGAAAAAAACTCTATCTTAAAACAAAAATATGCCCCAATTCCCCATTAAATGGCTCTCCAGATCCAGGAATATGTGCTCCAACACTGCCAATGAAAACAATTAGGCAATGAAAAAAGCTTCAGAGGCCAGCCTGAAACATTTTTAACATGTGTTAATCAAGAGCCATAGGTAGCACAAGGGCAGGTGAGGATCTAATGTCTGTGGCCAGGACAAAAAAAATTACCTGTCATTTCCCAAGTTTTCTGCTTTCTACCTCAGCAGATTAGATCTAAGGGGAAAAAGTGATTAAGTGATTTAACACAGGCTTATTTTTCTAGTTAAGAGATCCAGGGAGGGAGGAAACAGAGGAATGAAAAGAGGAGGAAAAGGGAACTAATATTTATTGTGTACCTACTTTGGGCCAGACACTGTGCGAGGTGCTGTATACCCATTATCTCAACCTTTGCAAAAAAAACTTTGCAGGTAGATATACCTGGAAACTGAGGCTCTGGTAGTTTAAATGACTTGTTTAGACCCACAATAAATGTTGGAGCCCTAAGGTCTTAAAACCTTAGTCTAAGGTCTACATACTCCTGATGTTAATATGTTAGCTTGTACTTAATAATCCCTTCTCCCTCACAATTTCTGTAGTAAATAAGTTCCAACTTTATCACTTTGACAGAAGTATCTCTATCTTCTTTAAAACATCACTTAAAATGAACACTGAATGTGTGAATCAGTTTTCTTGTCATGCAAATAAGGAGAAAACATCCTCTAAGATGAATGAATGAGAGAAAATTTTATATTTGTATTTTTGAATCCTTAATACTATTTTCACACTACAGTTAAAATATGTTTATCAAAATACAATGGTGAGTAGAACAACCACTAATTTCTGTGAAAAAAATATAGCATATAAGCAAATTCAATCAAGCCTTGAAGGAAGGAATGTCTTAATTTCTAGGAAGATGTAGTATATTCAGAGCAGTGATGCTTCCTTGTTTGCCCACACATATCCAGTTTTATGTGATTGTTCTGGTTCATCTGGTAAGAGCAAGCATTCTCTTTCTTACTCAGAAAATTGTTATGGTTTGGATGATAAAAAGTATCATTATCCTAAGCATGTTAAGTATATATACCCAAGCAATGTATAACAACATAATTTATAAGTAGACACATTATACATTAAACCTCAGTTAAAAAAATTTAAATGGTATTTCTCTTTGCTAATTACTACTGTATTTATCTGTAATATATGTACGTATCACACACATATAAAGTTTATTTTATAATGAATACTGAAAAACTGAATGAAAAGAAGCACACCTTCTGGCATATTCATTTTGGTTTGTAACAGAAGCTTGTTCTGGATCCATTCCCACAAGGCGAGTTGGAAAACTGCAACCATCACCCAAACTGCGTAATAAAAAATATCAGTAATAATTTAATTTATATTATATTAAATTGAAGTTGTCAAATTTAACTCCCAATTTTCAGAGACATGGTATAAAGAAATTATCATAACTTGTCATTTCAGAGCAAATTTCCTAAGATTTCTAATGGAATGTGATTATTTTCCATGAGAAAACATTTTTCTTTTTTCTTTTTCATGGACATTTAGATTTATTGTGATGATCATTTCATAGTATATACATATATTGAAACATTACATTGCATTGTACACCTGAAACTAGTGTAATATTATACATCAATTATATCACAATAAAAACAAAACAAAATAAACATATTTCAGGATATTTAAATAACCAAAAAAAAGCATACTGTCAATCCTGAAAGTATCTTTGGATACATTAAATATATAATGTCCATGGAGATAGGAGCGAACAACTTGAGTTTTTAAAATATAACTTTGTAAATGCTCTTTGTATATTACAGATATTAATTCTTTACCTGTCATCCACATTACAAATAATTTTACCCAATCTATTTTGTCTACTTTGTATTGTTTTGGCATCCTTTTCCACATACAAAAGTAACTTTTTTTATATAGTAGGATATGTAGAATTTTATATTTATAGCTTTTTGGTTCTGCATTTTTATTAAAATAGTTTCCTCAGTTCCCAAGTTATACACATACTCTTAGAAAGTTTCCTCTAGAATTTTTAGTTTTTTCTCATGTCTCTGATTTAGTTTGCTTTATATATTAATGTTGTATGATCTAACTTTATTTTCTTCTGTGTGGGTAATTGGCTGTAGTTTTTAAAATTTTTTCATGTATTGATTTATTAAAAATTTAATCTTTATTGTATTTTTTCCAATACCATTTAGTCCCCTTACACCCCCTCCCCCAGCAATCACCACACTGTTGTCCATGCCATGAGTCCTTCTTCCTTTTAGCTCAATCCTTCCACCCCTTAACCTGCACCACCCCCACAACCAGCCGTCATCTGGCTCTCCATCTATGAGTCTGTCGCCATTGCCCTTGTTAGTTCAATTTGTTCATTAGATTCCAACATATGAGTGAAATCAAATGGTATTTATCTTCCTCTGACTGGCTTATTTCAGTTAGCATAATGTTCTCTAGGTCCATCCATGCTGTCGCAAAGGGTAAAATTTTCCTCTTCTTTACAGTCAACTACTATTCCACTGTGTAAATGCCCAATAGTTGTTTTATGCACTCATCTATTAATGGACACTTGGGTTGCTTCCATACCTTTGCGATTGTACATAATGCTTCAGTGAACACAGGGGTGCTTATGTTCTTTTGAATTAGTGTTTTAGGTTCCTTAGGATATATTCACAGAAGTGGGAATGCTGGGTCAAAAGGCAGATACATTTTTAATTTTTTGAGTTATGTCCATACTGCTTTCCACAGTGGCTACACCAGTCTGCATTCCCACCAACAGTGCAAAAGGGTTCCCCTTTCTCCATATCCTTGCTAGCACTTCGTTGTTTGTTGTTTGATTATAGCCATCCTGACAGGTGTGAGATGGTATCTCACTGTGGTTTTAATTTGCACTTCTCTGATGAGTGACATGGAGCATCTTTTCAGGTCTATAGGCCATCTGTACATCCTTTTTGGAGAAGTGTCTCTTCAGTCTTTTGCCATTTCTTAATTGGGTTGTTTTTTTGGTGTTGAATTTTGTAAGTACATTATAAATTTTTTTTATATTAACCCCTTATCAGATTTACTGGCCAATATGTTCTCCCATTCTGTAGGTTGTCTTTTAATTTTGTTCATGATTTCCTTTGCTGTGCAAAAACTTTAGTTTGATGTAGTCCCATTAGTTTTTTTTTTCTTTTGTTTCCCTTGCCTAGGGAGGTATATCTGATGAAATACTGCTACAAGCAACGTCCAAGATTTTGCTGCTTGTTTACTTCTGCAATTTTTGTGGTTTTGGGTCTAACATTTAAGTCTGATCCATTTTGAATTTATTCTTTAAATTTATTTATTCTTTATGTGTTTGTTTTTATGGCAGTACTATTCTGTTTTGATTATTATGAGTTTATAGTACAGTTTGATATTAGGTAGTGTGATTCCTCCAGCTTTGTTCTCCTTTCTCAGGATGGCCGTTGCTTTGCAGGGTGTTTTGTGGTTCCATATACATTTTTGAAATATTTGTTCTAGTTCTATGAAATGCATCACTGGGATCTTGATAGGAATTGCATTGAATTTATAGGTTGCTTTCGGTAACATGGATATTTTAATCATGTTAATTCTTCCTATCCATGAACATGTTATATGCTTCTATTTATTTTTATCTTACTCAATTTCTTTCTTCAGTGTCATATAATTTCCAAGTACAGGTCTTTTACATCCTTGGTTAGACTTAATTGTATGTATTTTATTCTTTTTGTATGAACTATGAATGGGATTGTTTTCTTAATTTCCCTTTCTGTTAGTTTGTTATTGAAAATCTTTTTCTTTTATTGCCCTGGCTGGGTGGGTCATTTGGTTGGAACATCATCCTGTACACCAAAAGGTTGCGGGTCCAATCATCGGTCAGGGCACCCACCTGGCTGAGTGTTCAATCCCAGTTTGGAACACAGTGGGGAGGTAACCAATCCACGAGGTAACCAATCGATTTTTCCCTCTCACATGAATGTTTCTCTCTGTCTTTCTCTCTCTCTTAAAATCAATAAACATATCCTTGGGTAAAGATTAAAAAAACCTAAATAACTTTTTTTTATAATTATGTATATTTAAAAACAGTATCTTTTATAATATTGTATGCCAACTATTCTTTAATACAAAAAATATCTTCCATGACTTAAGATTATGATGCCTGTGAATATTATGATACCTCAAACACAGTATTCAAATATTTGGGTAACTGACCTGATACAATTATTTAAGACATCATAAAAGCTCATGTTGGAATTCAAGATAGAAGCCCCACACATATTCATTCAACAACATTCATTAAACAAATATTTACTGAATGCCTATGATATTCCAGGTACTAATTTAAGTCCTAAGGGTCTAGCAATTAACAAAAGAGCAGGAAAGCTGTGTCTTCAAAACATTTACAATCCAAAAAGTAAAGCTATGTTTTTTTTTTCACATTTAAAAAAAAAATCTGGATTAACCAGGAAATCTGACCTCCAGTCTTAAACAGCTGGAAAATTGAACAGTATATTCAATACTGCTTTCAATACAGCACAGAACTGTGGTCTGTGATAGAAGAGAAATGACTAAGTGAGTTCCAGCCTCTGCCAGGCAAAGAAAGGACACACAGAGCAAGGTGGTCTCACTGAACTGAGGTAACAGAGGAATTTTGAGAATTTAAGGCAGCTTGAATCTATCAGACAGAGCTGAGGACGAGGGAGATATGCAGAAGCTGAAGCACAAAATTAAACCGTCTGCCACAATGAAATTGAACATTCTCTAAAAGGACACAAAATTTAAACACTCAGAATTCAAAATGTCTACCATCCAATACAAAATTACTAGCATGAAAAGTAGCAGGGAAATGTGATACACAATTAAGGAAAACAAAACAGTCAATAGAAAAATTAGACATAAGGACTTTGAAATAGTGACTGCAAATGTCTCTGAGTTAACAGGAAAAAGCAGATATAGAGAAAAGAGAACTATAAGAGAAAAAAGAACCAAACTGAACTTCTACAGCTGAAAAAAATAATACCTGAAATGAAAAATTAACTGGATTAGCTTAACAGTAGAGTAGACATTATAGAAGAAAAGACCAAGAATTTATAAACATAGCAGTAGAAACTATCCAAACTAAAGCAAAGAAAAAAGATGGGGAGGGAAAGAGAGGGCAAGACAGAATAGCAATGGCCTGTGAGTGACAATCAAGCAATTTAACATATGTACAGTTATCAACATCAGTATCTGAAAAGCTCGTGTGGGAAGGACATAAGAAGAGTAGAAGCAGGCAGCAAAAACAACTGAAGACATATGATGAAAATTATTCAAATCTAATGAAACCTATAGTCAGATTTAAGATTCCAGAAGAACAAACACAAAGAAAACCATAACAAGGAACATTATCATCAAACTGCCTAAAACCAGCTGAGAAAGATAAAATCTTCAGGGTAGCCAGAGGAAAATTTACAAACATTGTAATAAAGATAAGAGTGAGGCTCATTTCTTTCACAAACGGGAAGATAATGGAACTTCATCTTTAAAGGAAAGGAAAAAAAAACCCCATAATGTTGACATCTCCATGTAGAGAACAAAACCTTCAAAAAAAAAAAAGGTCTGTGTTAGATCCGGAGTCCAGAATGGAAAAACCTTGCAATGCAGAAGACAAGAGATATAGTACACAGAAGAGATTGGCTTTTGAAGATATAGCAATAGGATCTATCCAATGACACACAGGAAAAGGACAACAAAAAAAATGGACATTGCATCAATGATCTGTGGTTAGAACTTCTTTGAGTAGATACATGTTATTTGAGGAGAGGGGCATGAAAGAAGAAACAGTTGAAGAAATAATGGTTGAAATATTTTCCAAATCTTATGAAAGTTATAAAATCACAGATCGAGGAAGCTCAACCCTTACTGAGCACAAGAACACAAAGAAAATTATAACAAGGCACATCAAAATCAAATTTCATGAATCTACTTACAAACAAAATCTTCAGAGCAACCAGAGAAAAAAGACATATAAAAGATACAGTAAAAAAGATAACAGTTACCTCAAACTTCTCATCAGAAAAATATGTAAGCTAGAAGACAGTGAAGAAATATGTAGAATTCTACACCAAGGAAAAATATCTTTCAAAAATGAAGGCAAAATAACTCACTTTCACACAATAGGCAATGCAGTTAATTAAGAAACCCATAACACTCACAAATATGTCACTTGAATTTCAAATATTTTTTCCTCTTCTACAATGACTTTTGTATTAGGTAGCCTAGGACAGCTACAAATTTGGATAGAAAGTAAATTATGCAAGATCTTGAGCATACCGTATTTTTTGGACTACAAGATACACCCCCCAAATTTGGGAGGGGAAGGGGGGTGTGTCTTATAGTCCAAATGTAGTTTTACATTTACATTAGTGAAATATTATGTTATTTATGTTATTAAATATTTTACCATATTGCTTCAAATTTTTTTCCCTATTTTCCTCCTCTAAAACCCAGGTCCAAAAAATACAGGTATAGTCTTTAGATTTGAGTAAAAGTTACATTTTGTGTAGGGTCTTTGATTTAAGACAAAACAAAATATGTAATCTGTGATGGAATTTTGAAAGATATGGCTAATAAATTCCTTTAAAAATATTATTGATTATGCTATTACAGTTGTCTCATTTTTTTCCTCTCCTTTACCCCCTATGCCCCATACCAGCCCCCTCTCCAGCATTCTATCCCACTCCTTAATGTCCATGGGTTATATATATAAATTCTTTGGTTTCTCCATTTCCTATACTAGTCTTTATCTCCCCCTGTCTATTTTGTACCTATCAATTATTGCTTATTTCCTGTAAGTTTACCCACTTTCTCTCTCCTCCCTTTCCCCATTGACAACCCTCCATGTGATCTCTATTTCTGTGATTCTGTTCCTGTTCTGGTTTGTTTGCTTAGTTTTTTTTTTTTTTTAATGTTTGGTTGTTCATAGTTGTGAGTTTGCTGTCATTTTACTGTTCGTAGTTTTGATCTTTTTCTTTTTTTTTAGGCAAGTCCCTCTAACATTTCATATAATAAAGGCTTGGTGATGATCAACTCCTTTAACTTGACTTTATCTGGGAAGCACTTTATATGCCCTTCCATTGTCAATGATGGCTTTGATGAATAGAGTAAGCTTGGATGTAGGTTCTTGCTTTTCATGGCTTGGAATACTTCTTTCCAGTCCCTTCTTGCCTGCAAGATTTCTTTTGAGAAATCAGTTGACAGTCTTATGGGCACTCCTTTGTAGCACTGTCTCCTTTTCTCTGGGTGCTTTGAAGATTTTCTCTTCATCTTTAATCTTGGGTAATTTAATTATGATGTGTCTTGGTGTGTTCCTCTTTGGGTCCAACTTCTTTGGGACTCTCTGGCTTCCTGGAGGTCTATTTTCTTTGCCAGATTGGAGAAGTTCTCCTTCATTATATTTTCAAGTTATTGAAAATAACTTTTCAATTTCTTGCTCTACCTCTTCTCCTTCTGGCACCCTTATAATTTGGATGTTGGAATGTTCAGAGGTTCCTAAGCCTCTCAGTTTTTTTAATTCGTGTTTCTCCATTTTGTTCCAGTTGAATGTTTATTTCTTCCTTCTGTTTGATATTGTTGAGTCCCTGTTTCTTTCCCTTAACTGTTGGCTCCCTATGTATTTTTATTTCACTTTGTATAGCCTTCATTTCTTCCTTTATCTTGGGGCTATACTCAATCATTTGTGAGTATTCTTATTATCAGTGTTTTGAACTGTGCACCTGATAGATTGGCTATCTCCTTGCTGCTTAGTTCTTTTTCTGGAATTTTGATCTGTTCTTTCATTTGGGGCATATGTCTTTGTCTTGGCACACCTGTTACTTTGCAAGGGACAGAGCCTTAGGTATTTGCCAGGGTGGGGCAACCCACTTCACTTTGTTGTGGTGCTGTATGTGGGGATGGGGTCAGAGAAGGACCAGTACCGCTTGCTTGGCTCTTGCCCCACTTTCAGTCACTTCCCCTACCACCCTACTACCCACAAGTGAATTGTGCTCTTTCAGGTGTTTCCCTGGTGCCAATTCCCAGGTGGGAGGGCTTGTGTATGTTCTAGGATGCCATGGGCCCCTCCACCGAACTCTCCTGTGAGACTGGTAGTTTCTCCTGCTGCTGCAACCCCCACAGGTTTTTTGCATCCAGAGGTTTTGAAGCTTTCTTTCCCAGAGCTGGAACCCTGGGTTCGGCAGACTGTCTTGCTCCCCAGTTGTTCCTCCTGGTTTATCCGCATGAGAATGTTTGACTGCCCCATCAGTCAGCTGCCCCGTTGCTGTGTGTTCTCTCCACCCTGGCTTCCCGTCTCTGCTCCCTCCTACCAGTCTGGATGAACGTTTCTTCTTTAGCTCCTTGGTTCCTGGACTTCCATACAGTTCAGATTTCTGGCACTTCTGGTTGTTTTTTGTTTTTCAATTGGTTGTTACCCTTCTTTTGGTTGTGCAAGGGACCAAAGCATATCTACCTACACCTTCATCTTGGTTGGAAGCTCAATAAGTATTAAATTCTTATGATTCTCTACTTCAAACAATTTATTTTCATTTTGAAGGAAAAAGAGTGATTCTTATTTTTTATGAATCATCTTTTTTCAACTTTCCATTCAAATATATGCCCAAACTCTCCTTTACCCTCACCAATAAAAAAAAAAATTTAATATAATCAGGTATCCTCTGATTATGAAGACACTTAACTATAATATCCATAATTTCTGACACCTGCAATTTATAAATTACCTTGAAAATACTGGAAGTAGCCAGTATTTCTTTTCATCGCCAAAAACTTGTCTCCAATTTTTACTGTATCCAAGAGAGAAACCATTTCCATCAGGTCCATATGAAAATGTGGGTGCACGGAATGATTCTGTTATGTGTGTACATAAAAAAAAATAAGTTATTCTATTTAAAATTATATAAGAAATGAAAGTACCAACTTTCTTATTTTATATCTTTACTATGAAAAGTTGTAAATATAATTTAAAAATAAATAGTATATGTATAACAATTAAAAGATTAACTTCTGAAACTTACTGCAGAAAAAAAATCACCTGTAAATATTTCATCACCCTTATAAAATGAAAATGTCAAAATAAGTACTAATATTACTGAAAATTTACTAAAGTGTACCTAATATATCTTATTTTACTTTCTTAATATTCTTTTTTTTTAAGATTTTATTTATTTATTTTTAGAGAGGGAAAGGAGGGAGAAAGAGAGAGAGAAACATCAATATGTGGTTGCTGGGGGCCATGGCCAGCATCCCAGGAATGTGCCCTGACTGGGAATCGAACCTGCAATGCTTTGGCTTGCAGCCTGCGCTCAATCCACTGAGCTATGCCAGCCAGGTTTCTTAATATTCTTACTCTTCAACTTTACTCATTCATTATTTACACACTTCCTACTATGTGCCTGATGATCTGGTGTTATCAGGTGTTTGAGATCCAAAGATAAATTGGATGAAATTCTTACCAAAAACCAAAGTCTAACAAAATTACAATGTGATAGAAATATGTGTGTTTTGGGGGTGGTGGTAGAGTAAGATGAAACATGGAGGAGGTAATACTTGAGAATGATCCTGAATAAGTGAGAAAGCAGACCATTCTTTTTTCTTTAAAGATTTTATTTATTTATTTTTAGACAGAGGGGAAGGGAGAGAAACATCAATGTGTGGTTGCCTTTCCCATGCCCCCTACTGGGCATCTGGCCCACAACCCAGGCATGTGCCCTGAATGGGAATCAAACCAGCGACCCTTTAGTTTGCAGGCCTGAACTCAATCCACTGAGCCATACCACCCAGGGCTAAACACCATTCTTTTAAACTTGGTTGTAAAATTATGCAGAGTGAGGGTTAGGGAAAGACTTAAGTTTCACCAAAAAACAGTTTTATTTTTGCTTTGTTTTGACTTTAAAAATAGACCTCATTTCAGCATGTTTTATAAACTAAGGATAAGAAGCCATGGAGAGACTGATTGGGAAAGGCTGGTAACATAGAAAAGTAATGTAAAAATTGATGGAAGAAAATTCTAGAAGAAATGGGATGGGCTCTAGAAGAGTTCTAAAGATTAGCCTTGCTTAGATTTTAGAAAAGACTTCTTTAGAAGTTAGAGGAAGGGAAACAGTGATGCATCTCAAAGGAGAAATGTTTGTGTGAGGTTATAAAGTTAAGAAGGTTAGAATTTACTGTGACAACTTCTAATTCTTCTATGTAGGACTCAAAATGGGTAAGAAAATTAGAGAGAATGGTGAAAGTCTGGAATAACTTGTAGGTAACGAGTGACCAACCTGATCAGAAACATCACATTACTGCCACATAGAGGTGAGGGCTGATACTTTAATTAAATCTGTAGTTTTAACAATCTCAATGGGAGTGAGACTGTCTTTATCAGCTTTCTACAGCTCAGAGGCACATGTAGATAAAATGGACAGCTATAGTAATCGAGGTCATGGATTAGCAAATGCATTACAGCTGAAAGCTTAGGGGCCAGGTGTAACACAAGGGTGCCGTTAAGAACTGTTAAAGGCATTTATTCAATATTACAAGATCTTGAATGGAAAAGGGTGGGAAATGAAACCAGAAGGGAAAGAAAACACTTGGAAGAAAAGTGTTGGAAAACAGAGAATTCAGCAATCTAAAAAAAAAGGAATTAGAGTACAGGGGAAAAAAGGCTGAAAGGACAAAGACTATGCTCACAGAATGGAAACTGAAGTAGAAAATTTCAGGGACTCTGCAATTTCAAGCAATGAAAAGGTTCAGTGTTTAGTTATGGAAATGACTGGCCACTAGAATCAAAGGGACTACACTGCCTGTTTTAGATGACAGTAGTGTGACAACAGAAACTCTTAATATGAGGAAATTATCTCAAGGTATGTAGATGACAGTTATGAAGAAGGGTAGAGGTGATACCTCTAATGACAGAATAAGATACCTTCAAAGAACAGAAAGACAACAATTTGGAAGCAGCAGTGGACAACCAGCCAAAGCCCAGGGGTGTGGAAGGGAAGGCTTTAAGGGCAAGTGCTGTGCTAGGGTAATGCTTTGTCTTTTAAATACTTTTTTTTTTCCAGAGAGAGTAGAAAGGAGGGAGAAAGAGAGGGTGAGAAACATCGATATGAGAGAGAAAGATCGGTTGGCCACCTTCTGTATGTTCCCCAGAGGATCAAATGCGCAATATAGGCATGTGAATCGACCAGGAATCAAACTGGCGACCTTTTGATTTGAGGGATGATGCCCAACCAACTGGCCAGGCACGTATTTTCAAAGTGTGGGTTAAAATACCTTAATAGGCTGCAAAATTAATTCAGTGGTTTAACGTACACTGCACATAAGAGAGCTGAATAATATTGTGTGAAATTTTTGCTTATTTATATAACTTTACAAATATTTGTGCACGCATTAGGTTATTAAAAAATGATGCATTTCTTACTGTAGTCACTGGCAAAAAGTTTGGAAAACACTGTTTAAAAGGAACAATAAGTTTCCCAGGAAGCACTGGTCTCTCAAATACCCACCATGGATTGGGTGGGAACTATGGCCAATTAGTGTTCATGCCCCATTTAAAGGAGTCAGCTGCCACTTAGCTGTAACTAAATGATGCTGGGTGGAAAAAAGGGCCCACAATATCAGACTAATCAGTTAAGAAGAAATCTACTTTTCTACATAAAATCTCTAAGTTTTTAGCTGTAGTGAAAGATCTTAAAGGCTAGACTATGCACGTAGGCTGTACTTTTTCATCTCTGATTAAAGATAAGAAAATGGCAGGAGATTCTATGACGAGGATAACAAGTTGACAGATATAATAGAGTTTATTTACATGGAAAAGGGATGAAGACTGGATGGAACTGGAGAGCTCAACAGTGAAGAGTGAGCTGAGGTAGGAATAGCACAGAAATCCTTTATTCTGGAGACCCATCATCCCTTACGTGCCTCAGCTGGATGAGTTTAAAATGATCCAACAATAAAAGTATCTAAAAGCCTCCATAAAATGTCTTCATCTTTATTAAAATCTGTCCCCTTCTAATTCATCTGACAGACACATGGCTTTAGATAGCAGAGCAGGCTTTAACTTTCTTATAAAACATGGTATATTAGCTGATACCTGAATATTTCAATGATACCACAGTGGTGCTTCTTACTTGCCAACAACTCAGTTTGAGCAATGCCGCATCACCTTGTTTTTGAAATGTTTGTCCAATTATTTTAATACTTTATTGAATTCTTCCCCTATTCTTCCACTTTTAAAAATGAGGAAAATAAGACAACAAAGTGCGCCGTCACTGCCGCTCCCATAAATAGCATAGGGGAGAGATGCACTGACATAAAGCATGAGTAAGTCAGTGCTTTAATCGCTGATTTGCTGAGAAGTTCCGCAAAGGGACACGTGTCTGGGGACCCATGCACTGACCTCTTCAAGTACTACCAGCAGTGTGTTCAGAAAGCAATAAAAGGAAAAGACATTCCCATTGAAGGACCATAGTAGAGAAAAGCTTGAAAAGTCTTCTTGACCTTGACCTTGGAAATGGACTACTTACATAAGGAAATTAGTCACTCTAGACTTTGTCAATTAAAGCTGTGAAGATAGCCATCAATTTAATGAGGAGTTTGGGGTGGGGCATTTCCTCCTTCTAGATGTTTTCCTCTCACTTGTAAAAGATGATGAACCATTTCACTTTGGGGCGATTTCTCACTTGCTCTGGAATCTTGCAGGAACTCACTGTGCTAAAACTGAATGATTTGTTGGGATTATGGTTACCTTATTTCACCTGGGATCAGCTTTAAATATACCTTGTATGTACAGTAAACACTGATAAACTTGTCAGATGATCATGGTTGCCGACCTCTTGAGTTATGCTTCAAAGGACATTAGGCATACCATGCTAGAGTTATTGTTCATAGAAGCAACTGGTTAGGACCTCTTTTCTCTCAGGAAGCTAATGCTCTGAAAAGGGATCCTAGCACAACAGTTTCAATCAATACTTGGGAGCAGTTTTATTTTTATATAGTAACTTAACTCTTAAAGATTTTTGGTGGACAGGGTTAGCCAAGAGGAAGCTTTTAAACAGTTCCTTGCCTTTCAGGTTAAGACATGAAAGCCTCAAGAATGTTAAGAATGAGCACCATTTCAGAACTCATAGTGCAGTCAATCATTAAGATCCTTGGAGTATGCTATGGATGAAGATCCTAAATTGCAAAAATTTGCTGTTGCCAACTTTCAACCTTAGTCAATGAATTAATTAAGTCATGAAATGACTTAAGTAATTTTGCATGAAAATGCAAAAATATTGTATCTGGTTAAATAGGGGGAGAAAGGAGTTTGCTTTATTTGTCTTGTTTACCCACCCTGCTCTGTAATGAAATTATGCAGATGAAATAAATTATAGCATCAGTTCCTTAAAAAAAGCAAAATAAGACATAAATGTTGATATTAGTGATACAATTCATAAGTTTCACTGTTGACTGACATAAAGATGGAAAGGATTCCCCATGTCAAAACACTATTCCTGTCTCAATCATGAAACATTTGGGAAAAAAGTAAAGAACTAAATGATAAGCTGTAATTAAGAATTTAATTTTTTTTAGAAATCTGAGAATTACCTTATTAACACATAAATCTATTCATCTTTCATAGATTAATTTTTAAAGACACTGTATATACACAAGAAACAACTTCTATTAACATTTATAATATGGTTTGTTCTCTATATACAATGCACTACTGAAAAAAATACATAAAAGCCAATCTTACTTCCTTAACCTTCTTTAAAATAATGAACCTTTATATTTACATATACTGACTGTTCCTGTCCAGTCACAGTGAATTTTCACACACAATTATTTTATACTTCTTTATTATCTACTGTCCTTCTCTAGATTTCATATTCATGAGTGGTCATTTTAGTAAATAATTATGATTTATTTTGATCTCCTTACCTATTGTTGTTCTGTTTTTCCCAACTAACCAGCAGTGGTAGCTAAAAAGTGACAGGACACTGATGAAGAACATTGTTGACACAAAGAAAAGAAATAGTACATGGAATTTGGCACGTGTATCTGTGAGTTCATTCTGAGGAAAGAAAAAAGAAGTGTTAATTTTAGAGACAGTCAATCTCTAAAATGTACTATTTGGTTTTCCTAAAAATTATTGAATCTCCCCAAAACTTGCCAGATATGAAGAGTAATAAAATAAATTAAATAATATATCCAAAAAAACATTTTGAAAGCAGAAAACTGGCATCATCAAAGGAGTTTGCTTACATAAAATCAGAGCCATTTAAAAAAACTACTAAACTAAAAAATTTAGCAATACTTTCAGTAATAAAATAAAAATATGGACTCTACTCAACATTTTTCTTTTGTACTTTCTGCACACATGCAAGCCTTCCCCTCAACATCCAGGATATAGGAGGGTTTCCCCGTCAATGCTAAAGTATCTGCTTATTTTAATTATATATGCTGCTAATCAGAAATTAATTGTGACAGATTTATTTTTGTACTTTTCTAATCTCTTTTCTTGGAACACCACTGCAAATATGCCTATCCCCTGAGCTGCTTCAATTCCTACCTTTTTAATCGTTGCTCCATTCTTACAGAGCCTTTCCTTTTTGGTAATTAGCAATTTTGGTAAATGAATTTAACACAAGGTATGAATGAATGAAAACAGTTTCTCAGTTATCCATTTTTATGGCTAGGTTCACTTCAACAGAAGCAAAGTCTTATTTAACCTAGAACACATCAGTATCTATTAATAAGAGAAGGATGAAGGTTTTAAAGTGTTAGCTCTTATAATGAAATCACAGGAGCTGCTAGAACACAGTGGTCCTTAGAGATTTAAACACTGTTTACAGGCTAAAAGGAAGTTTTTTAGCATTACATAATTCTGCTATTTATCTTTTTCTCTTCTCTCCGAGTAACCATGATACCTTTTAAATACATCAAGTGATTCTCCTATCTCTTCATCTAGTGAAACAAATGAGTATTTTATATATATATATATAAACACACACATATATTCACTATAAACATCATAAAAGAGATGAAAAGAATGTCATGGCAGTAATGTATTTTACCTCTGGACAACTCTCTGTAGATATCCTGCGGCAAAGCTTGTACAAATAGAGACAATGTATTAAGAAACCATGTTTTATACAAAATTTTCCTGAACACTAGTCTTAGCAAACTTCTGCTTTGAAGGAACAGTAAGATGTTGCTCTCTAAAGGTCATCAACAACATTTTCTCAAAAAACAGAAAACAGACGAGAACATTTAGCTCTTCAAGCACATTTCAGGTACACTTTAAATACATACTTTTCCACTAAGTTTTTTAAAAATTATTTTATTGTTGTTCAATTACAGTTGTCTGTATTTTCTCCAACCCCCCCCCCGGCCCCACCACCTCTAAACCCACCTCCCTCCCTTGCTTCCCCCTTGGTTTTGTCCATGTGTCCTTCATAGTAGTTTCTGAAAACCCTTCTCCCCACTGTCCCCTCCCCTCTCCCCTCTGGCTGTTGTTAGATTGTCCTTAATTTCAATGAGTCTGGTTATAATTTGTTTACTTTTTTCTTTTGTTGATTATGTTCTAGTTAAAGGTGAGATCATATAGTATTTGTCCCTCACCACCTGGCTTATTTCACTTATGGAATTTCCTCAGAAAACTAAAAATGGAACTGGAATTCCACTGCTGGGATTTCCTCAGAAAACTAAAAGTGGAACAGCAATTCCACTGCTGGGATTATACCCTAAGAGCCCTGAAACACCAATCCAAAAGAATCTATGTTCATAGATTCTTTTTCTATGACCCCAGTGTTCATAGCACCCCAATGTTCACAGCAGCACAATTTACAATAGCCAAGTGCTGGAAGCAACCATCAGCAAATGAGTGGATCAAAAAACTATGGTACATTTACACAGTGGAATTCTACACAGCAGAAAGAAGGAGACTATACCCTTTGCGACAGCATGGATGGAACTGGAGAGCATTATCCACTCAGTTTTTAAAACAGAGGTCTGTATCTAGCATAGAATAAAATTAATTTTTTTAGCAAATAGTTTTGAAAAAAACTTCTGATTAGCCGTTTTTAAGAACCAGATGTGACAATTTCTTACCACTTTAATCACTATTGCAATATCCTTCTAAAAGGCTGTCACTTGCCCTTCTCTGTTCTAGTGTCAGCAGAGCAATCAGTGATCCTTTACAAGTCAGAACATATCACTGCTCTGTTCCCACTTCACCGAGTAGAAACTGTGGTCCTTACAACACTTTTCAAGGTTCTTTACTTTTTGGGCCCATCTCCAGGACTTCCCATTAGTCTCACTCTTGCTCACCCCCTTCAGCCACACTAGCCTCCCTCCTGCTTCTCAAACATGGCAGGGAAGCTCCTAATTTTGAGTCTTTTCCTCTGTTTCTTCTGTCTGAAATGTTATTCTCTCAGATACCCCCTAACTTCCAACAAGTTCTTGCTCAAATATTACCTCATTACTAAGGTCTACCCTGATCACCCTTTTCTTTTCTTTAGTTGAGATATAACTGACATATTAACAAAATATTAGTGTCAGGTATACAATATAATTTGATATTTATGTCAAATGTGAATGATCACCACCGTAAGTCTAGTTAACATACGTCACCTCACATAGTTACAACTCTTTTTCTTATAATGAGAACTTGTTACGATATACTCTCAGCTACTTTCAAATATCCTTATTAACTACAGTCACCATGGTATATGGTACATCCCTAGGACTTACTTTGACTGCCTTTGCCCACTTCACACACTCCTGACACCCTACCTCTAACAACCACCAATCTCTATATCGATGAGCTGGGCTTTTTTTATGTTTATATGTAAGTGAGATCACACACTATTTGTTTTTATCTGAATTATTTCACTTATAAAATTGCCTTCAAGGTCCATCTGTGTTGTCCCAAATAGCAGGATTTCCTTTCTTTTGACTAAATAATATTCTACTGTATGTTGATACTTTATTTATCTGTTGATGGACACTTAGGTTGTTTCCATGTCTTGACTATTGTCAATAATGCTGCTGTGAACATTGAGGTACAGATATCTCTGAGGTAATATTTTCATTTCCTTTCACTATATTTCTAGAAGTGGAATTGCCAGGTTCTATGGTAGTTCAATTTTAACTTTTTGAGGAAACTCCATATTTTTCCCATAGTGGATGCACCAGTTTATATTCCCACCAACAGTGCATGAGCATTCCTTTTTTCCACATCCTCACCAACACTCATTATTTGTCTTTTTGATAATAGTCATTCTAACAGGTGTGAGGTAATATCTCATTGTGGTTTTGATTTGCATTTCCCTACTGATTAGTGATGGTGAGCATTTTTTCATATACCTGCCGGGTACCTCCATGTCTTGTATCAAAAGATGTCTATTCAGGACTTCTGCCTATTTGCAAAAATCTAAATTTTTTTTGCCATTGAGTTATATGAGTCCTTTATATATTTTGGATCTTAATCTCTTACCAAATATATGGTTTGCAAATATTTTCTCTCATTCAATAAGGTGTCTTTTCATGTTGTTGATGGTTTCCTTTACTGTGTAGAAGTCTCTTATTTTGATATAGTCAAACTTGTTAATTTTTGCTTTTGTTGTCAAATCCAAAAAAATCACTGCTAAGAACTGTCAAAGACATTACTGCTTATGTTTTCTTCTAGGAGATTTATGGTTTCAGGTTTACACTGAAGTTTTTAATCCATTTAGAGCTGTGGTGTGTGTGTATGTGTGTGTGTAGTATAGGGTTTCAGTTTCATTCTTTTGGATGCGGTTGTCCAGTTTCCCCAGCACTATTTATTGACTGTCTTTACCCCATTGTATATTACTGCCTCCTCTGTCAAAGATTAATTGACCATACAAAGAAGAGTTTACTTCTGGGCTCTCTATTCTGTTCCACTGATCTATGTGTCTGTTTTTATGCCAGTATCCTGCTGTTTTGATTGCTACACCTTTATTTTTTAAAGATACTTATTTATTTTTAGAGAGAGGGCTAGGGAGAGAGAAAAACATCAGTAGGTTCCCTCTTGCACACCCCAACCTAGGACCTGACCTGTAACCCAGGCATGTGTCTTAACTGGGAATTGAACCTGAGACCTTTTAGTTTGTGTGACAACGTCCAACCCAGTGAGCCACACCAGTCAGGGCAATTGCTACAGCCTTGTAACATAGTTTGAAATCAGAAATCATAATGTCTCCAGCTTTCTTTTTTTTTTTTCTCGATTCCTTTGACTATTTGGACTCTTTTCTGGTTCCACACAGATTTTAGTACTGTTTATTTATGTGGAAAATGACATTAGAATTTTGATAGGAATTGAAGTCAATCTGCAGATTGCTTTTGGTAGTACGACTATTTTAACAATATGAATTCTTCCTATCTATAAGCACGAACTATCTTTCCATTTGTGTCCTCTTCAGATAGTCAATGTCTTACAGTTTTTTTTTTAAAAAAGATTTTAATTTAAAGGGGGAGAAACACTGATGTTAGAGAGAAACATTGATTTGTGGCTTGTTGCATGCACCTCAGCTGGAGACTGAGCCCCCAACACAAGCATGTGCCCTGACCAGGAATCAAACTGGCAACCTTTCACGTTGTGGGAGATGCCCAACCAACTAAAAGCCACAATGGTCAGGGCTCAGTGTCTTATAGTTTTCAATGTAACAGGTCTTTCACCTACTTGGTTAAATTTAGTCATGGGTATTTTATTCTTTGTGATGTAATTTTAAGTGGGATTGTTTTCTGAAGTACTCTTTCTGATAATTTATTAGTGCAGAGAATGCTGCTGATTTTTATATCCTGTAGCTTTAATGAATTTATGAGTTCTAAAATTTTTTGAGAGTCTTTATGGTTTCCTCTATATACTATCATGTCATCTACAAAAAGAGTTTTACTCTTCTCAATATCATATCTTTATTTCTTAACCATGCAAAATAGCTCTAGCTATGACTTTCAATATAATGTTGAGTAAAAAAGTGAGCATCTTTGTCTTGTTCCTAACCTTAGAGGAAAAGCTCTCAGCTTTTCAGAGTTGAATATGGTGTTAGC